TGCGCATGTGGCATAGCTATTGGCTCAATGGCACGTTGTCACACTTGTGCTGACGCAAAGAGACGTGTGTTACGTCACCGTGCAGCCGTACTAAGAGAACGTGTTATGCGTTAGACATTACATACAATCTGACTGAATTAAATCCACTATATAGTATGTAGTATTACTTACTATCACTATTACATTATATTAATAAAAAAAATAAAAATAAAATTCAACGAGAAATTTTAACGAAAATAGAGAAGAAATATTTCTTCCCAAATATTTAATGTTAATAATTAAATTTCTAAATAAAATAATTAACTATTGTAATTGCGGTTATATTGTTTGATCGTAATACGAGCTTTACTTAATATTACGTAAAAAAAAATTTATTCACCTGGTATATAATGAAGAGGTAAACGAATGTATACAGAAGAGATTGAGAGTCGACATGGCAACGTTGGTTTGTTCCCACTTATTCTTCTTGTATTTTTTTTTTTTTTTATTCCACTCTACTCTCGCGTTCGACGCGTATTACGTCTGGCCCTTGTTTGCCGTCATCGTTCCGCGTTGTAGTTGGCATCCTCCTCATCTCATTCGTCGTCTTATGTACACGTTTATGTTACTATTACTTCACTTTACTCGTCGTCATTCTAATTGATGCAATACTATCATATTTTTAATTTTAATAATTATTTTAGTGTAGTGAATAAAATTAAAGTAATAAATAAATTTTAGGTAATATTTTAGTAAATATATTAATCAGTGAAATGAAAGTAAAAGATCTAATCGACAATCGTGAGACACCTTCCGGTCAGCTGTCGAACATCATTCTCTTAACTTGTAATAGTATTATAGCTATACAATCTTGCTTGACAACGAAAAATTACTACGGCTGTTTCGAATGTTTAATCACTGCACTCTCTAAGTAAAGATAATTTAAACACTTGGATAATATTTTTAAAATAAATATTATTTGCTTATTAATAGTCGTTGATTTACATTCAATAAGATTTACTGCAAGAAGAAATAATATTCAATTTTTTTTTTTTTTTTTAATAAAATTTATTTTTATACTAAATTTTATTTTATAAAGTAAAAATATGAAAATTAAGTTAGCCGACATCTAAGAATTTTTAGATTTTTTTTTTATTGAAAAAATTAATACAAAAAAATAAAAAAAAAATTTCATTTGTAAAAAACTTGAAAAACTTTTTTGTTCCAATTTAATTATTGAAAAAAAATCAAAAAATTAAAAACGTCGGCTAACTTTAGTATTATAGTAAAAATTTAATGATTGTAAAAAATCTGAAAAATTACAAAAACAATTTTAGAATTTAAATATATATAAAAATTTTAAATTGTATTTATATCAAACTTTAATTATTCCCTTTTAAAATTTGATATTTGAGGTATTAAAAGCGGGTTTTATTTATAAAATTTACGCTGTAACTTGTTAATTGTTTATCAAAAAATTATCAGAAATTATCAATTTTTCTACTCGAAAAACTAAAAATAAATTATTAAAAAAAATTCCAAAACATTTTCCACTTGACCACAAAATAATGTTACGAGAAAAAGGATTATTTCGTAATTTACATTAATTGGCTGGAAGATACGTGCGGTTAATTTGCAAGTATACAACAAACGGGGGTGACTCCCTCAAACGCTCGTATATCTTTGCATAATAATAGATCCCGCATCGATCGACCTATTACGCCAGATAGTTTCTATAAAAAAAAAAGCCTCATTCTGGATTTTTAGCCATTTTTTCGCTCATTATATCCAAGCTAAAAAGTAAATAAAAAAAAAAAAAATCTAGACATAGATATTATAAACTAACGCACGTGTTATTTACAACAAAACGTTCGGTTGGTAACGAGCACGAGATCACTGCGATTGAGGTCTAGGTTAACCAAGACGTGTGTGATTACAGCACTAATAATTGTTTAATACAAAATAACAATGCAACTTGCTACCAGTTGGAGTTCAATGAAGAATACTTTGATGGAGATAATGTCTTTGAAAAGTAAAATTTTAAAAATGATTACGATTACATTACGTGTATGTTGTAACGATAATCAAGTACGTGCATGTACATATATGCAGTGAGGGGTTTAGAGATTGAAATCGGGAGATAGACAAAACTTTTAAATCGGAGTATTTGAAAATGAGAAGATTGATCATTTTAATGTTAATATTTATTTATTTATATTTAATACACATATGTACAAATGCATTTATATTTACAATATATACATATATATTATAAGGCAAGAACGCGGGCGTTGGCTCGCGCGCAAGTCCGCGTTGCCACGATCGCCCTGGCCCACTGACCTATATTGCAACGGCGGGTACAGGTCCCGCATACGAGTCGTTCTGCTGCTCGACCAATACTCGCGGGTAACATAAGCGAGTTAAGTCATATTATCAAAGCTACTTTACTATACACTGCTATTCGAGTGTGTATGAGTGTGAATGTCGATTATAGAGACTTGCAGCAATGCTAAACGGTTGTTATGTGCACACACAACATTATAAGTATGTGTTGTGTGTTGTTACGCGCGAAGACATCTAATCACATTATGTTCCCAAGTTCCTCGTTTACACTACTGTAATATTGTTATATATATATATATATGTATGTAAAGTATTATCGGCACTATTTTAATTTATAAATTTTAATAAATATTTATTTTGTATTTACTAAATAAAAATTATTTGTGTGTATTTAAAGTAATAAGTGCGATAAAATATTATTACTTCTAATAACATGTGTCGAAGATTTTTCAATGGATATCTAATTATTTTAATTACCGGCAGTGGTGTTAAATTAAAAGAAAAAAAATTTATTACTCCGACTGATTATTATAACTGTTTATATTTTAAATATTGTGTTAGTGATTTATTTTTATAAATTAATTATCACAATCATCAGTACTGTCAACGTACTATACTACTTACGGGATTTATTGTTGTTAATTTATCAGTTATTTCTTCTTCGCATCTGTGTACATCTAGGATGCAAGGTGCTTTTCTTCTTTTAAAGATCCACTAGTAGGCAGTGAAAATAAAAATATTAAATAACTAAATAAATATAAATAGATTTTAAATGTTAGCGTAGTTGTTATAGCTGTATAGTACAATCGTAGATTATATATATATATTTTTTTTTTTATAGGCAGCTCGACTTTCTTAGTTTACAGTTTTTAGTGTTACGTTGCTGTTGCAACTGGTTTATCTATAGAAACTCTTAAAAATAATTTTCTATTGTATAAGTTTAAACTCTGAAGAGATAATTGTTTATTCAGAAAGAAGAAATGACGAGGAAAAAAAATTTGAAAAGCTTTATTGACAATGTAATCGTTAATCACTGGGTATTGTTGTCGTTTAATTTTAAATATCAGTGAATGTAGTCAGTGACGGGGAAAAGAAAAATGATTTTTAATTTTAAAATCTAAATAGAAGAAGAAAGTTGAGAAAGCAACAGTAAAAGTGATGATGCGTAGGGAATGCGTGGTTAAACTGCTTGCCCGGTTACTTTGGTTGATCCAAATGACGTATGACGTATAATCTCATTGCGTCGAGTTGAGCTGGTTCCAGTGTTTCTCATCCATTTATTATTATATTCTTATTGCTGTAGTACACTACTCAGCCAGACGTACATACATTGATTATATATGGCATACGTACTCGTATTAGCTTCACTTCCATCTATCCCCTTCCTCTTCCTCTTATTTTTTATTCTGGCCCGTCTATTCCCTTCACTTCTTACCCTAACTCTTCTCTTCACGTCTATATCCACTACCAAACTTTTATATACTCTTCTCTACTAAATTTCAGATCTTTTCGTACCATACGCCAAGTACTAATTCTTCTTTTTTATTTAACTTCAATTATCTTCACTTTATTTAGCCGGTGCGGTCTCTTCTCTTCTCTTCCTCTAGACTAAAATACATACAAGTTTTCTTCACGAACACAACCCAGGCTTCGGCATTAAACATCGATTCAGGTTTCTTAAAACGCCATAATTTACATCATACAACACTTGCAAAAAAAAAAAAAAATTTTACCCATGCGTGTAAGTTTTTTTTGTCCAATTTTGTAAACTTACACAGAAAAAAAATTTACTTGATAATAATTTTGGAAAACTTCATCTTCTTTATTCTTGATTAAAAAATTTTTCTCTTGATTCAAGTTAATTTTTTTTCTGTGTACACTGAGAAAAAAAAGTACTACCCTTGAGAAAATTTTATGAAAATAAAGTTACCCGACATTTAAAAATTTTTATAATTTTTTTTTATTAAAGAATTATTAAAAAAAAATTTTTTCGTTTGTTAAAAACTTTAAAAACTATAAGTGCAATTTTTTAAAAATATTTTTTAGTTATAAATTAATAAATTAAGCAAAATAAAAAAATCAAAAATGACAGCTAACTTTATTATTATGAAAATTTTCTTGTCACAAGAATATATATTCTTGATAATTTTCAAGAATATCTTTTCTTGTCTCAAGAATTGATCGAATTATTTTTTTTTTTTAATCAAAGTAAACCTATTCGTTTGTTAATCAATCAAAATTAATGCCAATATTTTATTATCATGATAAAAAATGGCAAAAATTTTTTTTTCTCTGTATATTAATTTTGCGTTTAATGATGACAATAAAGTTAGCAGACGTCTAAAAATTTTTGATTTATTTTTATTAATTAAATTACAACTAAAAAGATATTTATAAAAAATTGCACTTATAGTTTTTCGAGTTTTTTACATGTGAAATTTTTTTTTTAATTGTTTAATTGAAATTTTTTCAATAAAAAAAATTTCTAAAAATTTTTTAATGTCGGCTAACTTTATTTTCATGTTTAATGTCATTTTTGTTTATTACTTACCAATTTAAGTCCTTAATTTACGTAGTTTATATTTGAGATGTAATGTATGTAAAGTAAACGCGTGACAAGTCAGTATTCATCAGTTCGTTACGACTGAATAATCTAGGACAATTTGGTTTTGGTTGCTATGAGGGTGAAGGATATGTATATAAAGTTACACTCTAGTTTATAGTAAGATAGTGTGTAGGATGTTTATAAATCAATAGTCCTTTGAATTTATATTTATTCAAATATCTATAAATATTCATAGTTTATTATCTCTATAATTATTTTCGGCAACATTAATTTTGTCTTTGATAATCTATAAAAATTTTTTATTTATTATTAATTAATGTGTTAATTATTTTTGTTTAGACCGAATATTGGAGAATTACAAGAGCCATTGGGGCTTAAAATGAATGCAACTACTGGCGGCATCACGAAAAAAAGAAAGAAATCAGATGCCAAGCCTCAGTCACAAATGTAAGTTATAATTAAATTTATTAATATTAAAACTTATATAGATAGATTTATTAATTGTATTTTTATTTACTTCAGTAATAAGTGCCTTAATGAGAAGAGACGACGCTTCCAGGAGAACGAGTTCATCGAGGAGCTTGCCGTACTGATTTCCTCTACGGACATGAGCTCTGGCAAGACGGATAAGTGTCAAATTCTACAAAGAACAGTTGATCAGGTATATCATTTTTATTTATCCTTTTTCGCTTAATTATTTAGATAAAATTAATTGTTTATTAAATTAAGTTGGATTAATTTGAATGTAGAGAAAGAAATTGAGCTTTAAATAATAAATTTAATTAAGTGCTTGTAAATCTTCAATTGTATGCTTGATTTAATTTAATAATTTTAATTTAAAATGTCTGGATTATACGGGCAAGAGAGATTAAATCCGTAAATTTTTATTAAAAATTCCTAGAGCAGTGGAAGAATTATTAATATTTATTCATCACTTTTATTATATTTTTTGTGTGTTCATAATGGAACATTTTGAGCACTCGGACATCTGCCTGCAATCGGAAATTCTATTTGGTATTGTTCAAAATTATTTAATTGATTTTTATTAGACTTATTAAGATGTCAAATTTATTTTTTTAACAAAGCAACATGTTGGATATATATGAATTTTGAATTTTTATTTATTTTAAAGTGTGTTAATTTTGCCGTAAGAAATTATACAAAATTAATACACTTGAATGATTGAAAAAGTTACTTAAATGCTTTTAAAAAAAGTTTTACTAAAAAAGTGACTACGTGTCAAGTGGAAACTTGTACTCAATAGAATACAAAATGATAACTCGAAAAATATAATATAACTTTTAAAAAATAAGCTGATAGAAATTAATTAATCAAAAAGAGACTCCTAAAAGTTTGTTAAAACTTAATTTTTGATAGAATTAAAATATAAATTTTATTAAATAAAAATGATACATTAAATAATAAAAATTTCCAAAATTGTAGGATTAATTTTTGTACTTTACTCTCAGAATCTAAAAGCTTTGCATTTAATTCTTTAAAAAAATAATTATGGATTAATGAAAATAATCAATAAGATTGCTGGTTTTTTAATTTACCTTAATAGCTTTGACAGGAACGAACGTCAATCAATCCATAATTTTGTTCAAGAACAAAACTTCAAAAGTTATCTATATCTATATCCGCCTGGATTGATTTTATAATAAATTTATTACATTATCAATTAAAATGCTTATAATAAATCAGAATCTAATAATAGTAATAAACTCAAGATAATTGTTCAAAATAATGCGTTGTAATACAAATTTATTTTCATTTAAATTTTACACAGAAAAAAAAAATTAACTTGAATCGAAAGAAAAATTTTAGAATCAAGAAAATAATTTTGAAAAGACGAAAAATTTTTTAATCAAGTAAAATTTATTAATATTTTTAGTTTAAGAATTTTTCTACTCAAAAGAAACTAATGTTCATAAAAATTATTTGCTTGATTCAAGTAAATATTTTTTTCTGTGTATGCTTTTCTTCAATTTCATCAAATATTACATTCTAAAATATGAATCAAAAAATACCCCTCTATTTTTTGTAAAATATATTTATATTATATGTGCGTTATTTTGTTTTAAGTATTCGAGCTTAGGAAAATATATAATTGATCAATCACTTTTTCACGTGTCAATCAGCTAAATTATTATTATTATTTAACCAATAATTAACGTTTCAACCAGGTGTTTTTTCAAGCTTTATCGGTCCCCCTCTTTTGAAAAAACTCAAGTCTTTTTATCTATTAACCTAACAATCAAATTCTTTTAATTGGTAACAGTAACCGGTAATTAAGATATGAACTAACCAACTGACAGTGATACATTTTTATTCACTCCTTTTCGGTACAATAGTCTACGAATGAAATCAATTTTTTTAGCAGCCATTATTAAGAAAAAATGTATAAAACGTGTATTATAGAAATTTGAAATTAGTTTAAGAAAAAAATTTACTAAAAATAAATTCTGTTTATGAGTGTCAATTATTAAAAATCAAATTTATAAAAAAAAAAAAACTATAACTATTTTTTATGTTTGAAGTTTTTGCGTTATCATTTTTTTTTTTTTTTAATATATGTATATAAAAAAACTATTAACCGACTATAAAAAAACATTTTGAAGTTCATGAAATTTTTCGTGAGTCATTAAAAATAATTGCGCAATCATCTTAAAGAAGTACTTAAAAATTGATAAAGTTTATTGAAAATTAAAGTTCTATCTATATTTAACTATTTGCGTGAAAAACGAAGAAATTTATCGTTTCAATTAAACAAAATTAGCATTGATTAATAGTGTGAAAATGAAGACATTAATTTTTATTAAATAAAAAATTAACGAAAATCAAGTCTAATAATTAATAAATGTTATAAATAAATTGCAAGGCCGTTATAAAGAGAGCTGAGAGGGGAAAAAAAATACGCCCGTAATTTGGTCGATGATGTCGGAAGGTATTCAACTATAAAAACATTCTCATTTCAAGAGAAATGATTAAGCACTCTTCAAAGTCCATTTGTGCCATTTTTTATCTTCCTTACATTTACTTTCAATTTATGATTCTTCTTGTCATAATGTAAATACATAACTGCACACATGAAATTAGTAATAGTTTGTGCGTAAAATTGATGAAAATTAAATTAGGCGACATCTGAAACTTTTTGTTACTTTTTTTATTAAATAAAATTATTAAGAGAAAAAATTTCACGTGGAGAAAATTTGAAAAATTATACGTGCAATTTTTTATTTGTAATGTAATTGTTAAAAACATTCAAAAATTGTTGAACATCGGTTTTAATTATATATAATAATAAAGTTAGCCGACATTTTTTAAAAATTGCACTTACAGTTTTTCAAATTGATTTCAAATGAATTTTTTTTTTTTTTTAACTTTTTTGTAATAAACTTTTCAATAAAAAAAATTTTAGATGTCGGCTAACTTTATTTTCATCGGCTAATTTTAATATCATGCAAAACTGATTGTATAGTAATATGATATGATGTAATGTAAGTGAAATTGATGATTGTCATTATGAATTATATTAGTTATCAAGTTAGGTAATAGAATAGTAAATTGATAATCAAATCAAGAGATGAATCCCTGGTGAATCTTGTACTGCGATCATCAGGTCATTCATGATTACATTGATACTGATGTTTTTGACGGTAAAGTTGTGTCATGTGTGGTGTGTGCTGTGTGTGTGTGCATTGCTCTGCACTACGTTTTAAAAGCGGCAACGTCGCCAGGCCCGTTTGTCGGACTCTGTGGGAGTCACCGACTTCTCGAGGCCACGCGTTAATTCACATTGAGATTACGACGCGATCTATCGGCGCCGGGAAATACAAACTCAAGGACGTTTTTCTCTGCGACCGTGAACTCAGCCGATAATAGAAAACTTTCATTTTAATATATATCATACACATTTTATTTCATATGCACACTTTACTTCATAGAGAGACACTTACTTACTTACTCAATAAGTAACGCAATTATTCGTATGTCATTTCGCATTGATATGGTTGAAATTTTTTTTTTTGCTACTAAAGATTAATTATTTTTAATAATAATAAAGTTAGCCGACGTTTTTAATTTTTTTTTAATTATTCAATTAAAACTAAAAAATATTTTTAAAAATTGCACTTTAAGATTTTAAAGTTTTTTACAAATGAAATTTTTTTTTTTTTTTAATAAAAAAGATTCTAAAAATTTTTTTGATGTCGGCTAATTTAATTTGAATTTATTTTCAATCAGTAAGTTATTATCTTCATTACTAAATAATTAATTTATTATTTAATTAAAAATTTATTAAAATATGAGTGAGTCTAACTCACTTAAAATTTGATTAGATCCTCCGAAATGTCGTTTCCTTTTTCTTCACTTTTTTTGTGACGTTGGCACTTGAATTCATGAAAAATTAAAAACTGACCCTTAGGTTCAGAGAAAATCTTTTTAGAGTAAACGAAAAATAATAATTTTTAGTGTTTTTTGTGATATTTTTATCTAAAAATGAAAACTTGTGAACAAAATGAATATTTTTTAAAACATATCTGAAAAAAAATTATATTTTTTCTGAGTTCAATTTTATTTTTTATCTTTTATATATTGGATCAAAAATATTGACAAATTTTGATTCCAAATGTTTTATTTTGTAATTTTTAACTAAATTCAATTAAATATGCAAGTAATTATTTGTGTAATATAAAATTAAAATTTTAGCTTATTTTAAAATATATTTTGTTTTAATTAAAAAATGTTTAAAGTTTGATTTTCCCAAAATTCTAAAAGAACAAAATTAGTGATATTAAATAGGTTATAAATATAAATAAAAATTAATAGAACAATTGTATATTTAAATAGTCAACATTTGTATAAATTTAAGGAAAATAAAATTATATAAAAAATTGGTCGATTGATTAATTAAAAAAAATATGATCAAAACCTGAAACAAATTAAACTTTGCGTTTAAACTGTTTTAAATAATCAATAAACAAAGATATGCAGATAATATAAGTGCAAATATAGAGTACATTGTCATTAAAAGTTATCCCGATAGCTCGCTGCTCACATTTTATACTCTTTTATCATGAGTATCGTTAAGTAGATAATTACTAAAACGATTTCGTCATTCATCAGTTATATTGTATAAGTAAATAATTAAATAAGTAAATACTAAAAGTACTTTCACTTAAAAATTCAAATGTACAATCAAGGTTTAACTTTTATTTTTATCTATTACTCATTACTTTTCGATTAAGTCTAATATACGTTTTTTATTTCAGATTCAGCATTTACAAAGACAAGAAGGAAATAATAGTCATGCAGTTCAACAGGGTGAAGTCTCCTCCTCGAATCCTAGCATACTATCTAATGATCAAGTTGGACCCATTTTACTCGAGGTAAGTCTGCTACCAAATGCAGCCAGGTAAAAAATTTTTATTTTTATTTTTTATCCATAAAAATTCATGATACTGAAATTACCAGACATTTGATAATTTTTTTTATTTTTTAGATGTGGAATTTTTTAATTAAAATTTTTTCATAGTAATTTGATTGTTATAAATATAAAAAAAAAAATTGACAAATGTATGTTAACTTCAGGATCATAAAAATCTACTGCCAGTCGACATGGGACAGCTATTAAGACAGTTTTAAAATTGTTTAAAATCAAGATGCTATAAATTTTTCAATTTATTAAGACAATAATTTCCAAAAATTTATTTTTCAAAATCAGTACCTAAAAAATTTACCGGGTAATAGCAATTCATATTGATGAACAATAAAAATTGAAATAAAATATTTAACTTACATTTCAATCGCTTTAAATATTTTTTTATATCAGTTTATCATTAAAATCACTTTAAATAATACAGAAAAAAAAATTTATTATTTTTTATTCATTTTATTTCATAATCGATGATATCAGGATTTCTATTAGCCCCACATTCGTGACACTAATGATTAAACGATATCTTCTAGCACCAATGTTTTATTATTTAACGTTACGTACTCTAATATTATTATTATTATTATTATTATTATTATAATTATTGTCACCAATAAAATGAATCGTAAGGAAAAAGTTTTTGGTAATTGTTTTAACTACCTAAGATAAGTAAAAAAACAAAAATACGTGGAACGACTCAGTAGACATTTAGTATACTTTCGTTCGTTGCAGCCAATGCAACATATTTTAATGTTTCACAGGCTTTGGACGGTTTTCTATTCGTCGTGAACACGGAGGGTCGCGTGGAATTCGTTACAGATAATATACAACAGTATATAAATTATACCAAGGAAGATGTGCTCGGGAAGGATATTTATAATATTATTCATCACGGTGATCATCAAGCCTTTATGCCCAGCTTAATGCCCATGTCAATAGGTTAGAACTATTTCTTCTTAGTTTTTTTTTAATTATTCTCTTTAATTCTATCTTAAAATTTTTGTTTTTTTTTTTTTTATATGTCAATTTAAACTTTAATAAAAAATTGATTGTTAATTTTAGGATGGACGAGTGAGCCTCAAGTACAGTCAAGAAACCGAACATTTAACTGTCGATTCTTAGTTAAACCCCCAGATGATCAAGAGGAATCTATTGAAGAGAAACAGCAACGCATATCTAAATATGAGTCAATGCAAATATGCTCTGCAATACTTCCAAATACAAATGATCATTTAGATAATAATGATGTTACATCAGAATCATCTGATATCGGTCCATGCGTAATGTGCGTAGCACGTAGAATTTCATACGTCGAAAAACCGTCAAATACTGCTTCAATACAGCAGTTTACACTTAAATTGGATACTACTGGATGTATTATTAACGTTGATACTAGTTGGCTCTCATCTTCTTATACTCAGTATATAAAAAAGGTATTTTATTATTTTTACTACCCCATTAAATCAATTGTATAAAGTAAAAGACGCAGTTATTGGCATTCTTTAATTTTATTTTAATTAAAAAAAATAAATCAACTCTAATTAATTAATAAATATAATTTTTGAATTACAAATTTTAAGATAATTGCTTTGGTAATTAGTTACAAGTGGGATCAATCCATACTAGGCCATGTTAAATTTTTTTTTTTTTTATCAAATTGATCATTTTTTTTTAAATTCGTTTTTTTATGTACTTCTCAAAAATAATATATCAAAAAAGAATAGAATAGAAATTTTATCCAATAACATAAAAGCCAATTTTTTTTCTAACTTTTAAGGGCAAAACAGCTATCGAAATGTTTATTGTTTCCTTCCGCAAGCAAAATAAAAAAAAATTTTTAAATATTAATTTTTCATTTAGTTATGGCCTAAAATGGGGTTGATCCCACTTGTAATTAATTACCAAAGCAATTATCTTAAAATTTATAATTAGAAAATTATATTTATTAATTTATTAGAGTTGATTTTTTTTTTTTTTTTTTTTTTTTTTTTTTTATTAAAATAAAATTAAAGTGTCAATAACCGGGTCTTTTACCTTATATAATTGATTTTTTGAGAACATTTTATTATTTTAGTTAAAATAAAATTGTAAGTGTCAAACAACTAGGCCAGTGTCAATAACTGGATCCTTTATCTTACTATCCAAATTAAATTGTACTATTAATGTTTTAATTATTTAATTACAGGAGGAGCTTATTGGAATTAACGTACAAGATTTGTGTCATCCAAACGATCTTAGTAAATTTACTGCACATTTAAAGGATACACTTCAGCGCGGTGAAGGTGAAACTTCTATGTACCAGCTGCGCGTCGGCCCGGAAACGTTCGTCAACGTTCAAACAAAGTCGAAAATATTTGGAGCAAACCCTTCGAATATACACGAAACTGATTTCATTATGTCTACTTATTCAATTATTGGGTAAGTTTTATTTTTAAAAATCATTATTATTTTATAATACTTTCCCAAAATAATCCTTGCCTTTTTTATTTATTAATAAACAATCCACTAATTTTATTATTTAAATAACCATACAAACTAACCATCATATCATACCGTAATGCTCACGAATTGGGACAATTATAAATTACGTTATTAATACTGCTTACATTCATTTGTAAATTGTACGCAAATTCCTTATTTTAAATTCCTGTAGAAATTATGTGCACTGTTTTGTTGATTTTATTTTATTTATTTTTTTTTTTTTTTTCAATTATTTTTTCGGTGTTGGAGATCTGGCCACTCTTGAATAATATAATTAAAAAACAATAGATCACTTAGATATTTTTTTTTAAATTTTACATTTAAACAATAACACATTTCAAGTTATATAAAAATAGGATTTACTATTAATCGTTCCTTTATTCAATTAATCCCACTCATAATCATGCTTAAGTTGAGTTTTACCGGCAATCACAGATTAATAATTAGACCCTCACAATTAACCCAGATTTAATTTAAGCGATTAAAATTTTTTGATAAATATTTATAAATAGTATAATAAATAATGAGATTCCAGAGTAATGATAGCTAGTGTTATTTTAACTAAAATATAAAAAAAAAAAATAATGTGAAATTACATATTTATATATTTTATGTCTATGATAGAGACAATGACTTAACGCCTAACGAGGGTGGTCAGCTTTCCAATAGCAAAGTGTGTTCAGGACACTCTAGTAATCATTGTGCGAATAATAGTAGTAATAATAACAGTAATAATAACAATAATGTGGGTGGTCCACTAATGTCCGTGGTTCATGTGAACGGTCAAGTGAGTGGTATGAACAGTCGTACGACAAATAATCAAAGTGTTCCCTTTGGTACATCAACAACAACAACAACAACAATAACAACAACAACAACAACGACAACAACAAGTGATTCTTGTAATTCACTCGGGCCAGCAACAACAAACAATCCATTTAATAATTATTCAAATGTGGATTTGGAACTTGAATTCTTTCCAAATTCCTCATGGGAATTGGATAGTAGCAGCGGTTGTGCTGACAATACTAGGCCCGAGTCAAGAAATACCGGCCCTTCAAATTCACGACCACCTTCCCAGCCAGCCCCATCATCAAGTCCTCAAGCAGCGTTCACCACTAATTCCACGGTGACGTCGCACTGCAGTCCTTTAAGAGCTTACAGCCCGACGACAATGATTGGTGCACACTCTTTCAGTAATTCCTTTTCATTCAGTCCACTTCAGGATTCTCCAACGTCTTTGCTCAGCGTCCCGGGTGTCACCAACGGCGGTGGCAACGGAAACACCAGTGCCAGTACTAGTGCAAGTGGGACCTCAATAGGCAAAGACACCAGAGGATGTTCAACGCCAAGTAGTCACAGTATTGACTCTATTGGATCCACTGCGGCTGCATCATCGTCTATTGGCGTGAACGCCTCCTCAGCATTGTCACCAATTGGTTCAACGACAATTACCTCAATGACGTCAGCAACCGGTACCTCACCCGGTTCATCAACGTCGACGAGTATCATGTCGTCAATGACAGGCGCAATAAGTGCCTCCCAATCAACTCCACCTACTACCACAGCCAATAGTTCTAATGCTGTTTCGCCTGTTGTATCAATGTCTGGTTCTAACGTTGGCGTTAATACATCAACTAACTTGATGACAACTCCCGAATCACAAAGTAGTTTAAGTTCAACCGCTGATTCTGGTCGGCTAAGAAATTTACTAACCAGAAATCATGTTAGTAATGATGATACTCAGGACAGTAGTAACAATGACTCCGAAAACCAAAATGAACATAAAATATTAAAAATATTATTAAATCAACAAGATGAAGATGATTATCATTCGGAGCATAGTGCTAAAGTCAGGTCCAATATTGGCATTGGACCTAAACCTGCTGCTGAACATTCTGGCAACAATATGTTATTGCAGGTAATAATTTTTTTATTTTTTATTGCACACCTCATAAGCAAAGCGTTGAGGTAGTGCTCTACTCTCGACATTTCAAAAAAAGCAGTTTTCTCAAAACTGAAATTGATTTTTTTTTATTTATATCGCACCTACAAGTTAATATGAGTGTACTAATATCAAGTCAAATAATTTTTCAAACATATAAAATATATTTCAATAACAATTATTTTGTTTAACACAGTAAATAATAATATTAAAAATAATCTTTTCTGGACGTCCGTGTGTCTGTGTTTAATAAAGTTTTTTTTTTGTTTAATAATTTTTTTTTTTTATTATCTAAAGTAACACACGACGGACTTTCTCAATTAATATGAGCGTTCAATTCCCTGTCGTTAAATTATTATTTATAAAAAACTAATATATGACTGTATTTTTTTGTATATCTATCTACACATTTTATTACAGTATTTTTTTTCCGCACTTTAGAATTATGGGACCACTAAACCATAGCAGAGTTTTCTGTTTTTTATTATTTTGTTTTTTATATTTTATTTTAATCAATTTTATTGTGAAAAATGAGATTATTATGAGGCGTGCATTTTTGAATTTTCCAAACTTTTTATATATACTACAATAAAAATTTTTATACTTAATTTTGTATAAGTAACAAGATAAATTGATAGTGTCGTGTTTTATAACTCAAGTTATTTGCTGACGTTTATTTTTCAATAAGCGGTATAACTAAAACGCTTTAGTCAGTTTTATGTACACGTGCAACCATATTTCTTGGCATTGCTAAAAATCTATTGTCGTATTACAGTTGTATTAAAAAAATTCAAAGCTTTTAAATTAATCATAAAAAAAAATTTTTTTAGCTGTTAAATGAAAAAAGTGATGAAGATGACGAAACACGAGCAAGTTCGAAGAAACAACATGAACTTCTTCAGCAACTATTAAAGGATTCCGATGATGAAAGAAAAATGCAGCAAGAGCAAAAGGTACTTAAACTATATTTATTAATTTATATAATAATATTATAAATTATTAATAAAAATTTTATTTAAAAATAATTAGAGTCGTGATGATGATACATTACTGAGGAGTCTTGGGTTTAAATCGTCTGGGCCATCGACATCTCAAACAAATGATCACGGCCACGGCAGTAACCCACAAACTAGTGGCCAGAAGAGGCCTGGTGAAGATGGCGATCTGAATATGTCTGTTAAAAGATCAATGGATAATTCTCATCAAGTATCTTCATCGGGTAGTAGTAATCGAGGTTCGAATAGTAAGCTATGGGAGAAGAATAAAATGTTGGCGTCTCTTCTGGCTAAAGAGCCTTCTCAGCCGACAACTATCCCACCAATCCCTGCATCTGTGATATCGGCAACTCCACAGGTTAAATTCTATGTTACAAATAAATTTATACATGACACATACGGTAGTTATAAAAGCTATAAGCTTTTAATAAAGAACTCTTTGTGTTTCATCAATCTTTACATTCACATCTGTGTTTATATATGAGTACTCATTCATTTTTTTTTCGTAGGATAAATTGCCACGCGTTGCCGACCGATTAAAGCAACAACAGCAACAACAGCCGTGGACAGGAAGTGGAATGCAATCTGTTGGAAGTACTGCAACCACTACTGTTGCTACCTCGGCTCGTACACCCCTCCAAAATCAATCAAGACAACTACCTCGCCAAGCAACCAATATCTACCTCAATCACATGCTAAGTCACGTTAGTAATTAATATTGTCAGATACTCCTTTATAAATATATTTTTTTTTGTTTTACTTTATTGTGTTAGACAGGATTTATAATAATTTACTGGTAATGTTTAAAATCGCCGGGACAATCAAAAATATTTATGCGCACCGTTAAAATTATTTTTAATATTCTTTCACATTTTTCAATTTTTTATGGTTAAATAATTAACACATTGTTGAAAATATTAATAAATTGCATGACATTAAAGTTAGCAGTCTTGGCAAGTTTTTAATTTTTTTTTTTAACAAACAAATTTGTTTTGAAAAATGACTTTTAAAAAAATTGCATTTTTAATTTCTGAAACTTTCTACATGTCAATTTTTTTTTGCCATAATTTATTTGTTGAAAAATTTTTAAATATCTGCTAAATTAATTTTCACTAAATTCCAAACTTAAAAAATGAAAATTAAGCTAGCCAATATTTAAAAATTTTTATTATTTTTTTTTTATTGAAAAAATTATTGCAGAAAAATAGAAAAAAATTTTCATTTGTAAAAAACTGTGCCATTCTTTTAAAAATATTTTTTAGTTACTGTTCACAATATTTGGATTTGGTAAATTGAAATAACTAAATAATCAAGTATAATTATAAAATTTATAATTTATGAAAGATCTAAAATTGTTAAATTAATTTTACGGATTTTTTTAAAATAGTAGGTAGAACTAAATTTTTTTTATTTTATTACGATTAAAATATTTTTTTTTTTTAGTATAGTAAATTTTGAAGTACAAATTAAGTATAGTAAGTGCTGAAGATAGAATTTATAAATATGAAAGCGACAGTTCATATCAGACACATCGAGAATTCGGGGAAAAGTTAATCTATTGCGTTATTAATATTAAATTTTAATTATTGGCACTTAAAAATTATACATAATGTTTTTTGGCACGTTAATTTATAATTTTGTTTGCAAATTCAATTGAAAACTTGAAAAAATATTGAAATTGTTTTTTCTACGGTTATTATGAGGAAAATTTCTACAGTTATTATAAGGAAAATTTTAATGTAAGAAAATATGCTTAGTTTTTTTATGTTAAGGGTTAGGATGTAAAATTCTGCACTTTTTGTCACTTTTAATTATTTTATCATACTCGGATTAATTTAATTTGTTAAATAAAAATAATTTAATTGCTTAATTTAATAGTTTTATCAATTATAAATTAATTATTATTTTAAAAAATAAAAATAATTCAACTTAACCATATATATCTTAATTTAAGACAGTATCTTTCTTGATATATTTAAAAATTAATTTGAGGGTCAATGATTTATTATGTGTTTATTTTTATACGATAATCAAAAGATAATTACAAAAATTTATTTAATATTTTAGGAAAGACCTCAAATGAGTCCAATGGATTCAGAATTTGCTGGTGGTGGTGGTGGTGGTGGTGGTGGTGGCGGTGGCGGCGGCGGCGGCGGGAGTAGTGGAGATTTTCGTACGCCAGTTACTGAATCAAATACGTGGGATAATCAGTCATCTGATCCAGCTTTATCAGAATTATTAGATCAAGTGATTGAATTTGTACCAGATGAAGTAATAACAGACTCATCGGCAATAGTCAGTTTATTGGATGTAATTGAACAGCCACAAAACAATTCAATGAATGAAAAAATGGCTATCAATGCAATACAAAAATCATTAATGCTTTGTGAATCTGCTGTTAATTCCACGTCTTCCACGATAACGATGCCCTCAACTCCACCAGCTTACTCTTCCGCTGTAAGTAAAATTTTTAAGAAATTAAGGGGGTATTCTGGTCTAGAAGCATGAAATTTCAGGTAATTTTTAAAATGTCGTAAAAAAAGGCAATCAATATTTTTACTATACATTTTTTTATAAGTTATTTATTAACATTATAAGAATACAGAAAAAAATAAATTGCTGCTAATTTTTTGAATTTTCAACTTTTTCTTTTTATATTTTTTTCTGTATTCTTATAATGTTAATAAATATCTTATAAAAAAATGGATAGTAAAAATATTAATTGCTTTTTTATTACGACACTTAAAAAATTACCTGAAATTTCATGCTTCTAAACTAGAATACTCTCTTAATAATTAACTTAAGATTGAAAAAAAAATAAATTTTTAATTAATAAATATTTATTATAGTTGGGTAGTGGAACTTCGGTTACGACAGCTCACAATTACCAACCTCCTCCAATGTATCAACAACAACAGCAAACAAGAGCGAGGTTTACTGGGCAAGCTGGAATACGACAACCAGCTTCGCAATTCCAGCAACAACAACAACAACAACAACAATTGCAGTTCAATCAACAGCGACAAAAACTATTGCAGCAGCAACGACATGAACAGCAATTGAAAAATCGTTTATTACAACAGCAACAGCACCAGCAAGTTGTTATACCCTCAAACGCTACGGCACCTGATCAAATACCAAGCATACAAAATATTGATAATCTGTTGAACAATGCTGTTGCTCCAAATGTATCGTTACAGGTATTTATATAATTTATGATTTATAACATTAAATTTAGCAATCACTTGACCATTTTTTAATCTTTTTTACAAACAAATTTGTTCCAAAAAATTGTATTTTTAATTTTTCAAAATTTCTACATGTCAATTTTTTCTTTTAATTTTTTTTTTTTGCTTTTTTGCTATAAAATTATTTTATTTATTTATTTCTCGGTCATGTCAAATCTCCTAAAATAAAAATTGCCTCAAAGTTCGCCTGGGGTCCACTGGACCCCGTGTGTCTTCAACGGGTTAAAAAAATTACATAGTAATTTTTTTTATTTTTATCTTATAGCGAACTGGTGTATCCGATTCTCAAATGTCGCCAGGCTATGGAGGTTCCGTCCAATTATCTAATACACATCGGATTTCACATTCTTATTCTCATCCGTCAACAATTAATCAACAGTAAATATTTATTTATATAAATATTTTTACAAGTAATTAATTAATTATTAAAATTAATTTATTTATTATTTTTTAGTGCTGTGGTAAATAATAACTTCAATAGCGGTCAACCAATTTCTGCAGCTTCTAGATTATCGCCACATTCTTCAGCTGCAATGATGACATTTGCTCATCATCAAACTTTATCGCCGCGTGTTTCACAGGTAAAAATAGTAAAAATAAATAATTAATACGTTAATATTACTAACTGATTTTTTTTATATTAATATTTTCTATTATTTAACGACTTTAATGTCCTAACAAAGAAAAATATTACTACGTTTGTTAATGAGTGTAATTAAATTAAAAAAATTTACAAATCAATTAAAAAGTAGAATCGCTCAATTAATATTTTATAGTGCTGTGATTTTAATTAAAAGTGTTTCACAAGCATTATTTTATAAAATAGTAAATTAATTAATTGATAAGATTTTTTTGAGTTAATAATAATGATGATTTATTTTGTTACAGGGCAATTACGGTAATAATCAAAGAATGTTCAACGTGAATCCCGTAAGACCACCACAACAACAGCAGCAACAGCAGCAGCCAACTGCAACACAACAGCTTCAGCAGCAACGATCCATGCCATCGCCTGGCACCGCAGTTCCGGCACGGCAATCTCCATTTCCTGCCGAAGCATTTCCTCCTCCCGCATCTCCAACTGCCAGCCAATTCCCACCAGTTCCGAATCCCGGTAATACAAATCCTACCGCCCAATACCGACTACAGCGTGCATCGTCGACACCCACCACTACAACACAATTGCCAGGTAATTTTATTCATTCTACTCTCCTAAAATCAATCAATACCGCTAATTTAGTAACTCCGTCATTTATTTAAATTGTCAAAAAAAAAATATTTAAAATTAATAATTAACATTAACATCTGTGCGCGAATTATTAAATTATAAATTATATTTTCAAGTGTTTTATTATTTTCTTTTTTTATTTTTTAATTAAATGCAAAAATAGTGATAGATTATTTATAAATTACCTAAATAATTGTAAAAATGTGTTATAAAAAATAGGTAAGTACATTTAACAATTATTTAATTAATTGTGTAATTTTACCATTTTTTTTTTTTTTTTTTTTGTTTTTTTTTTTTTTTTTTGTTTTTTTTTTTTTTATTAAAAATTTTTTTTTTTCAGTAAAAAGTAAATTAATTATTTTTATTAAAGTTGAAAATTAAAAAATTTTTTTTTTGATCGAGTAAAAATTAATTGAAAATTTTATGAAGTTGAATTATTAAAAATTTTATATATTTATTTAATTAATTGTGTAATTTAAAAATTTTTTTTTTTCAGTAAATTAATTATTTATTATTTTTATTAAAGTTGAAAATTAAAAACAATTTTTTTTTTGATCGAGTAAAAATTAATTGAAATTTTTTATAAAATTGATATATTAAAAATTTTATTTATTTATTTATGCATTAAATGTGTGAATGTATTGTGAAAGTATGTGTTTCCACAACCCTAGATAATTTAAAAAAGAGTATCGAGGTAGATAACGTAAATGTTGCAGGTGGAGTAGTATCACCCCGACACTATGGCACTGTAAATAAAGATCAACAAAGTTTAATGTCACCTGGTCATCAGCGAGCTGGGTGTCCGCCACCACCAACGCCAACGCATAACCACCAACATAGTATGACGAATAATCAGCAGCAGCACTATACAAACCAGCAACAACAACAGCAACAGCAGCAGCAACAGCATAATTCCATGCTATATCGAAACACCGGCAATAGCATCGTTAATAACCCGGATGTACAGAATAATCAATTCTGCTACGATCAGGGTACCGTACCTGGATATCCAACGAGACCTGAGGACACCAGGTCAATGTCTTCTAGTAATTCGGCCGGTCATCAAATGGGTGGTAAGTCATGTGACCTGTTAATGTCATGTGACAATACTACATACAACTATTTCATCTGTAAAAAAAATTATTAATAATAATAATTAATAATTATTAATTACATCCCATTATTTTGAGTATGGGTTTTCATACTGGCTCCAGTGCACGGGATTCAGTATATCGAGCATAAGCACACACAGCCAATTGTTGTTTTTTATTTTATTTTATATATTTTTTTTTCTTTTTATTTCTTCATTTATCCAACTATCAATATCACTAGTATTTTTATTACCATTTAATAATTATTAATTGCACGCCTCATAAGCAAAGCGTTAAAACTGCTCAAAAAAAGCAGTTTTCTCGAAATTGAAATTGATTTTTTTTTATTTATATCGCACTTACAGGTTAATATGAGTGTACTAATATCAAGTCAAAAAATTTGTCAGGCATATAAAATATGTTTCAATAACAATTATTTTGTTTAACATAGTAAATAATAACATTAAAAATAATCTTTTCTGGACGTCCGTGTGTCTGTGATGAATAAATTTTTTTTTTTTTTACTATCTAAAGTAACACACGACGGACTTTCTCAATTAATATGAGCGTTCAATTCACTGTCGTTGAATTATTATTTATAAAAAACTCATATATGATTGTATTTTTTTTTATATCTATCTATACATTTTATTATAGTATTTTTTTCCTCACCATAGAGTTATGGCGCCACTAAGCCATAGCAGAATTTTCCGTTTTTTATTATTTTGCTTTTTATATTTTTATTTTAATGAATTTTATTGTGAAAAATGAGATTATGAGGCGTGCAATTTTGGATTTTCCAAACTTTTTTTTCAATTTAATTACGACTAAATTTTTATATTATGATGAAAATTTTTTTTTCATTCACGTAATCATTCGATTAATCAATCATTAATTATTGATAATAAATTGAATGAATTACTTGAGTAATAATTTAATAAAAAAAATTTTAAACTGTCTAAAATAATAAAATAGTGACAGAGTATTGATAAATGGATCGTGTAAATAATTAAAATGTATCATTGGATATTTCATAAATCACAAAAGATCATTTAATTTTTATTGTTTCACGATAAATAATGCATGGTGCTTTAAAATGTATATTTTTGTTAACTTATTTATTTATTTGTTTTGGTTGTTTTCATTCGACATCATATTATACATATATATATATATATATATATTATTCGTATCACACACCTTGTGCTCAATGAATGCTCATCCTTGTCATCTACTAATCTGCTATTATCACCGAATACTTTCATCCTTATGTGAATAACGATGTACAATCATCTGTCTGCTGCACACTTAAAGTTCTACATTTAATCTACGATTATTTAATTTAAATATCAAGTGATATTTTATAAATTATTTGTAAAGATTTTATTTGATAATTTCATTACTTGTACAAATATTAAGAAAAATATTTTAACGCTCAATAATCAATTTATATTTATTAATTATTGTAGAGAAATGGACATAAGTTTCTTTTAATTTATTATAATTATAATTAATCGATATAAATTTTAAGGATTAATTATTAAAAAAAAAAAAAAAAAAATAATGAATTAATTTATTACTTAAAAATTTTATAAATTACTTATGTTCACGTCTTTCGATAATTATAATTGTTCAATATAAGAGGAGATTATCACTTGGTTTTTTGCATTAATTTAAATTGTAATATAAATTAATTAAATTAATATTTGCACCTTAGATAACTGTATACCATTTAGTGTCCTGCACAATGCACAAATAAAACTAGTAAATTCTTGTTTTTTAAAAATTTACTTTCTTCAAGTAAATTTTCTCCTCTTATCCCTTGTATAAAAAAAATAAAAAAAAACTGTAATTAATTTTGATATTAAATATTAGTTTAGGCTTAATCACATTAAATGTAATTTAAATAATTTATTTAAAATATACATTTATTAATTGTGCTATTTGTCGTCATCATCACCTGTGTTTCACCAACGCGATAAAAAATTATTAATAGAATTAATAATAACATTAAAATCATTTTATGTATGTATAAAGTATAATGTCAAGTGGTGGTTTTACATTCAAGTGATTTGCAAACAAATATCAGCTGATAAAAAAAAAAAAATAAACTACAAATTGTTATTTGTGGCATGGGGAATTGCTTTTCTCATCTAATGACGTCAATGGAATGGCATTTTTAAAAATATATACATAAAAAAGATATTATTTATTAAAAGAAAAAAAAATCAGCCTTAGCTTTGTTACCTTCGAACGCAAACTAACTTTTTTTTTTTTTTTTAAATAAATCTTTTTGTATATACATAATAATAAAAATCGTTGGATCATAAAAAATATACCATTACCTTCTGATGTACTTTGTTTCCTTTTAAATTGTAAATTTTTTGTCTTAACTTGAACCAATTTTAAAATACTCCTTCATTATAATAATAAGAAAAAATTAATTATTTACAGTTATTAAATTAATGTTCATTTTTGTTTATCAATTAGGTAATACCACTGGTCTCGGTAGTACAAGGTCGGAATTCGTGAGACAAGAATTAAGAGCTGTAGTGGGTGCAAGAACGCAACAGAGAGTACCAAACAACATTCAAAATAATGTTATGGAACATAGTAATGTAATGGAACATGCTCATAATAATGTAATAGGACAAGTATCACAGGATGATCTCGACGTACTTGGATTGTCCGCCTACGAAGCATCAACCTGTGGTAAGTTTTTTATTTTTAAAACTTTTTATAAATAATTTATTTAATAAATTTTTTTTTTAATTTTTTATAAATAATTTATTTAAAAAATTATTTTTATATTTCATTCAATCTGGCGAATAAAATATCCGACAATAAAATAAAATAGAAGTAATATATAAGTTAGCTTTTGTAAGCACAACAATGCTACTTTTATAATAAATTATCTGATTATAAATTTTGCACAATTGACATTTAATTTATCGATTATTTTAATACAGATGCACACTCACTGCAGTTTTATTATTTTTTTTTTTTTATTTTTTTTATTAACAACACGTTGAAACACTTTTTTTTTTAATTTTAATTTTTTTAGTTTAAATAACACATCATCGTTCAATATTATGCTGTGAAAAAGTATTACACATTCATTACTAAAATAGAGATCACCTATTTTTTATTAACAAAATTTTACAACCGACACAATAATATAAATAAATCCCGTTTACACAGACATTAAACACACAAATGTAAATAACCATTTAAATTTATTTAATTAAATTAAATTAATAAGTAATGTGGATAAGTAAGCATATGTAATTAAATAATGTCAGCAGTAATATATATGTTGATGAAAGACTAAAAAAAAAAAAAAACGTCATGTTAAGATTGTGGTAACATGTATTGTTACGATGTCCTGAATAGGTGAGGCTGTGGTTAACGATGGCCCTGCTAAGAACTGGGCCACTGGAAATACCGGAAATACGCCCTTCTCCTCCAGGGTAAGACCCCTCCGACAATTATTTTACGTACATCATTTAAAAAAATTTTAAAATAATTTTTTTTTTTATTTTGTATGCTCTATCTTCCCTCTACGCTTCGCTTAATACAAAACTTATCGTGCACATTATTTTTTAACTAGTTTCTTTTATAATTGAATAATTATAGTAATAATTTATTTTAAATATAATCTATACATTGACATTTATATTTATTTATTAGATATTAATATTAAATTATTTATTTAAACATTGACTATTGCTTATGCATGAATTTTAAAAATATACAATTGAATGAATCGTAGAATAGAAAAATAGTACCTTTATGACAGGAATATTTTCTAATTTTAATTAATAATTACCAGATTCGTTTATTTTTATTTCACCATTAATAAATAATAATTATAATTAGTTTATTTAAGTCTCGCGGTTGTGGGTAATAGCTTAACATTATAATATATCTATTATGATTAATTAAAATTCTGGCGATGTGTTAGTCAAAAATTATTATCTATTAGTAATGCTTTTTCACAGTGCAATTTTAATTAATATTTTTTTTCTTGTTATTTAAGCATATTATTTTAATTAAATAAATTTTAATAAAGCGTGCTTTAGTTACAAAAAAAAATTTATATTGAAAAATTTGTTCAAATATTTTTAAAAATTGAAGAAAAAGAATTTGATATTTATTTTTTTTTTTAATTGTATGAATTGCATTAATTATTGGCTTTAGAAAATTTTAAATTTAGGTTTTTTTTCGGTATTAATAATTTAGAGCTGCATAAATTAGATTTTTTAATTTATTTAAAAAAAAAATTGTTTTTAACGTGTGAAAAAATTTTTATTTTTTTATGTATGCAACGTAATTAATAATTTCATTAATTACAATAAAAAATCTTTAAATTAATACATAATATGTTTTTCAGAATATTTTATTTAAAATATTTCATCACAAAATTTAATTCAATTAATACAATATAAAATCATTGATATAAAAAATAAAAAAAAAAAAACAGTTTATTATATTTATATATATTTTTATTAAATATGATTACAGACTACTATTGAAGAGGTGGTGCGAGTTGATCCAAAGTCGTCACTTTTGCAGAAATTATTATCTGAGTGACTGCTATGTAATAAAATACATGTAATATATATATATTAAAGTAAGAATAATATAATATAATATAACGCCAATCACTCCTGCGTCTGTACACATTCTTTATGTAAAGATATATTATTACTATTCTTATTATTATAATTATTATCATTAATATTATTGTTATTATTATTATTATTATTATTATTATTTTTATTATAATTATTATTGTATTGTATTATATGTAAAACACTATGATTCTTGAAATTAAAAAAAAAAAAAAAAAAAAAAAAAAAAACAGTATAAAAACGCGTTTTTACCAAATGCACTGTCAATCGGGTTATTTTGTTTCGAGTTGTTTTATAACAAATCAGTAATAAATTTTTTTTTATCAATTAAAAAAAAAAATTTTTTATTTTCATCAATTAAAAAATACTTTTTTTTTTTTTTATTACTAATTAAAAAAATACAGTTTTTTTTTATTATTAATTGAAAAAAAATTATTTTACTCTCGACTGGTACAAACAACTGATTAATAGTCTTCTGTTAGACTTTTTAAAAATCAATTTTGTCTTTTTATATAAAAAATGACTTATATTTGTTTGAAGTAAGAGAAAAAAAAATTACAACTATACGTTTTTTGACAATTTTTAAATTCTTTAAGAATTTTAAATGAACTTATGTGTTATTAAAAAATTGTTAATAGTTAATTAGTGATTTAATAAATAAGCTCAATGATAAATAAATACCGATTGATAAGGCGTTTAGTTTATTTATAAAAAAAAGAAAACTACGTAGGTACCTCACCGGTATACATTACTATACCACTGGCTGTTAAAAAAAATAATTAAATAAAATTATTTATAGGTTTTATTAATTATTAATTATATTAGTAAGACCATTTATTATTGTATACAAATACAAACAAATTTACGAGGAAAATTAATTGTATACAAAAAATAAAAATCGCGTTTTTTTCTTAATTTAACAACTACTTACTCTACTATTATAATTATTATTATTATTATTATTAATATGACTATTTTATTATTTTATTACTATTGACATCATTACTATCAATATTCTTGTTGCAATTATTATATAATTACTCTATAATTACTATCAATTTATTATTAATTAATTATAACTACATTTATTATTGAATATTAATAATTATTATTATTATCTTTATTTTGATTGAGTATATTATATTATTACCATTATATCGATATTAATAGTATTGAATATAGTGTCTAAGCGTATTTAAAATCCAATTTTAAGGGTACCTTTAAATAAAATATTAAAAATATTTAAAAAACCAACTACAAATAAATAAATAATTGATTGCATTAAAATGTACGTACGTATGTTGTAACATATGTATTAATGTGTGCGCTCGATGTAAAATATACATATATATACATATATATATATATATATATATGTGCATGTGTGCGTGTGCGCGCGTGTGTGAAAACGTAATAACATAATTAATATAATAAAATATAATGATAAATAAACGATTATCTATTTTGCATAGTATCAACAAATTTCTCTTTAAAATCTCTTAAGGCACACTCAATTACTGCTAATTAAGGGATGTCACTTGTTAATTATTAAAAAAAAAAAATAAGTAAAAGAACAAAAGTAAATTAAAGAAAAAATATAAATTTCATCGTACATGCGATATATATTTATGTAATTAATATAAATATATATGTATCTAAATAAAAATATATATATATATATTATTATATAAAAAATTAAAAAAATAAAGTCTGTATGCGCGTACAAATATGCATGCATATTTAAACAAAAAAATAAAAAAAAAAAAAATAATAATTATTTAATAAAGAAATCTCACGCAAGTGTCCTATTTTTCCATAGAGTTTTCCGAAATTTTCATAACTTAAAAAAAAGTTTGCGAGATTTTAAAAATAAAATAATAATTATACAATTATCTTTATTTTAACAAATGAAAATTACTAGGAGAGATTAAAAATTAATAATATAAATCATTAAAATGGTATTATATTTTATTTATAAAAGTAAAATTTTTAAAAAAATAAAATGTCTATTGTTTTGTATTTTATAAATTAAAAAAATTATTCAAATTTATTGCAATGTATTTTAAATAATTATTAAAAATTTTAATTAAATAAAATTTTTTATTTTCAAATCGATTATATTGATTGGAATAAAATAAGATAAATAAAATAAAATATTATTGTCTACAGAATCAAATTTGGAACAAAATGTAAACAATGAAGATTATGTAGAAAGTTAATTGTAAAATTAAAATGAGAGAGAGTAAGAATGTGTAAGCGAATAAGAGAGAAAGAATGAAGAGGGAGAAAAAATAACAAAATAACAATTACTCTTTGGAAATACACATAAGTGAGATACTCTAATTATACGCGGACATACGTGTACATTTTTTTTTGTTTCAATAGTTGTATGTCTGTAAAAGAAATTAATATACGAGTACATACATGTGTGTCCCCGTATACCGTGGATACGTACGTGCGTGTGATCTAAGTGTGTATAAAGTGAATTTAAAATACGTCATATAGATAAATCATATGTGCTTTCTAATGATGAATAATTTTATAAATATAAACGTAATACTTATATAATGTTGACTTGATCATTGTCATTCTACCTAGATAATCCTTAAATTAAAAAAAAAAAAAAATATTGTTTCCTTATATATAAAGTGACTAATGTCAAAAAGGTGTACTCATTTCCCTTTTTTAATTTTTATTTTCATTTATAAAATTGGAACAAAAAAATATTTTGCAAAAATTGCACTTAAAGTTTTTCAAGTTTTTTTACAAATGACATTTTTTTTTCTTATTTTTTTTCAATAAAAAAAATTGTTAAAATTTTTAGATATCAGCTAACTTAATTTTAATGCAGTAAGATAGGGCTTTGTGCAAGAAAGGGCGAACAAAAAAATTTTTTTTGCCAATCAGCTCAAAATTGACCAAAACGTCGGAATCAATAAAAAAAATTTTATATATAAATATACGCCCTTATTTATTTATATTTATATACTAATCACTTGATTTTTTTCTCAAAAATGTTACAATGACGTTAATTCAATAACAGTATTGATTTTTTACGAGCCCTAATTACTCAATTAGTCTTATAGAATTGCCAAGTAAATTTAATTACCCAATAATAATAATAAGCCAAGTGCGATTAAGTGAATTACGTTTTATTAGTCAGTAATAACTGAGTTCGAAATAATTACTTTAAAAATTCGGCAGTAATGGAATACAATACTATAAAATAAATACATTGACTGGATTTATTGCTTTTTTACGATTCTTAATTGCGATTTATTGATGAAACTTTAAACATAAAGTATGTAATAAATTTGATAAATATCGACCAGTTATTAAATTATCAAAATTTTATAGAAATCATTAAAACTTGTTATTTTAAATCAATAATTTTGTCCTTGATATCGTTTATCAACACATTAATTCTTCTACAATTTATCTTTAATTAAACAGATTATATAACTATAAATTAAATTATCCTAAAATCCACTTTTTGTCTTTAAAAAAAAAATTTTAATGATTTTTTTTATAAATAGTATTAAAATTAGCAGACACTTTTAAATGAAAATAAAAAATTTTTCAACACTGTATTTATAAAACTTGTAAAAATCTTTGCAAATATTTTTATTTTTTTCCATTAAATTACGTTCTGATAAAAATAAAAATAAATTTGTTAGACTGCTATTTTTATGTTAATTTTTTGTCATTATTATGTTTAAAAAAATATTTAATATGTTATTTTAAAAACTTTTTAATTAACTTGCCGGTATTACAACCATAAAGGCCTGCATACTCGAGTCAAAATAAGCTGCTTATTGTCTTGCAGAGAGCGATAATATGCATTGTTTGAAGTATGATTTACGACAATTTTATTACTTAAGAATTCGATATGAGTTTTTTTTATCCCAGTTATAGCACGTTAGTTGATACTCACCCGCTGGAGTATAAATTTAAATTAATTAAAAACTCAATTTTTTTTTTTTTACTGATAATTATTTTTATTCCATCAAAAAACAATGAAAAAATTTTTTTTTATTGTATATAAAGTCGAAGCTTTATTTTTAAGATATTTGGTCAGTATGATTATTATTTATGCTTTAAAATTAACTTGGGTAGTCAAGTTGACCGTAAATAAAGAAATTAATTAAAGTTAAAATCATATGAACTCAATTACTTTACTATTCATCAAATAAATTTGGATGTTAAAAAAAAATTATAAATTATAGTTTAGTCTTTTTAAAAAGTTGCTTATCAATCTTATAAGAGTCTGTAGGACACCTCTTTCAGAGATTAACATTGCTACTGTCATAATATTCTTGGCGGTTAATAATTTTCTTACTGCTTTCATCAATTCATTTTTCTGTTTTGCAGTTAGATCGTTTCTTAAAATTTCAGGAACAGATTTGAATCGTCTCTCCATCGCCATCGCAGTGCCGAGACTAGCAGCTAAACCTCCTAAAATATAAATTTTAAGTACGATAAATTAATTTGTAATTTTTATTAGATAATAAATGAATTAGAATAATATAATTTACCAATTGCAATGCCACGTGGACCAAGAAGAAGACCGCCAACGGCCGCGGCAGTACCAACCACAACTCCAGATTGAAGAGATGATTTAACAGCTACTCTCATTGACTTTATTTCAGTTATCTCACATAGTACATTTATTAATTCGTTATCATTGTAGGACATCATCTTGACTCCAATTGTTTATAAAATTAATATTAGCTTATATAGGTCTTAAATTTTAATCTGAAATTAAAAAAGCAGAGTAATTATTATAAGATTAAAGTTCGCAGTTTCTTGACAATTTTTTAAATAAACAAATTTGTTAGAAAAAATTTTTTTTTACAAGTTGCATTTTTTATTTTTTGAATTATCCGAGTGTCAATTTTTTTTCTCATTTTTTTTACCACAATTTATTAGTTTGATAATTTTTAAAATTTTTTTAACAAATAAATTATACCAAAAAAGAAATTATAAAAAAATTAACATGTGAAAATTTTTATAAATTAAAAATGCAATTTTTTATAAATAACTTTTAGGAACAAATTTGTTCCTAAGAAAATTAAAAAATTGTAAAGTGATAGCTAAATTTAATGTCACTTATAGAAAATTCCTATCAAATTTGGAGTCTGTAGGATAATTGAATTGAATTGAATTTATTGATTTATGCCAAAGCCTTCACTGGCCAGATGGCAAAAGAAAAATATACATTTTGTGAATACAATACATATTTAAATTTTTAATTTAAACATAATTATTAGAACTTATATATAATTATACATAATAAAATATGAGTAAAAGTAATATTGCTTATATATGTACTAATTTTGAAGAAACAGTTTAAGTGAAAATTAAAACTAATAGTTTACTACATTTATGATTATGATTTTAAAGATTTTAATTTATTTTTAATTTTAATTTGTAGGAGCTATAGTTTGAAAAATAAAAATTTTCATTGTTAATCCCCTCATCCCCACAACCCTCTTTAGGAGAATAATTTCTTAAAATCCGTTCTTAGCTGACCTCTACATGGCAAAACTAATATTCTTACCAAATTTCAAGTTTCTAGGTCTGATGGTTCCCGAGATATCGTGATAAGTGACTATATAGATAGAAATTTCTTATAATAATTTAGATTATTAATTACAACTTTATATTTTTAATTATTTTAATAAAAAAAGAATACATATGAATTTAGCAAAATATAGAGCTTTAGTTTCTAAGAGATGTATCGCCTGAAAAATTTATGATATAAAGAATTTCCATTGTAATCGATTGTTTCCGAAGAGATTTTCAAAAGAGAGATTTTTTAAATTAATTTGTTTTTATTGTAGAGTTTTATACTGAGAGTTTTTTAAAATAAAGATTTCTTCGGAGGGATTATAAAATGTTTTTTTTTTTTGGTTTTGAAAAAGAACTCTATTTTATAAATATTCTTTTATACATTTTTAAATAATAATATCCTTATAAAGACTCAAGTATTCGCTAATATAATTTTTAATTATTGTATTGTCATCATACTTATGATCCTCTTTACAAAAAAGGGATTATAAAATGTAGAAAAATTCTCTGTTAAGATGCTTCCCACCCGTTACTTTTTTACCAAATTAGTTATTTGAAAAAATAATTATAAAAAATTTTGATTTATAATAAATTAAAACCATAATTTATAATTTTTGAAAAAAAATTCAAAAATTTTCAAACGTTTACTGATTTTAATATCACAAATTTATAATAATTGATAAATAATAATTACTTACTGAGACGTTGATGATTTGATTTTTGGAAACTTAATAAAACTTTAAAACTTTATACCAGTCACTGTCACGAATCCGTTGACAATTGATAACTGAAAAGAGTAAGAACATTCATTCAAAGTCTGGACCAGTGCGGCTGGATCTTGGGTTAAAAATACCCCTACCCAGCCATTACGCACCGTGTTAGTTCGCCGAGGAAAGGGGAACTTTTTACCCACGATCGATCAAAAACAATAAAACAAATCAAAAGTTTTAATTATATTTTGTATGTATCAGTAATTCCAATATGGCTGATGTACCAACAAATGCTCCAGAACGTACGTACCTAATGACAAGTATAAGTAGAAATAAATAAATATAATTCAATAATACTTGACATATCTTTTAAAATAAAATAATTTCAACTCATATTAATAATAAAAAGCATAATTACAATAATATTAAGGAATTGTTTTTAAATTAAACGCAATTCATAGGTTACGTCAGCTACATGACAGTTGATTAAAATTTTAATTTTTTTTTTTTTTTTTTTACAGACTGTCCTGGAACAGAAAGTAATGATGCAGGAAAGGTATCAGCGTGTGCTGGTTGTCCAAATCAAAATATTTGTGCGTCAGGTGCAACAAAGCAACCTGATCCAGGAATCGAATTAGTAAAAAAGAGGCTCGCTGATGTGAAAAATAAAATTTTAATATTATCAGGCAAGGGTGGTGTTGGTAAGAGTACAATGACTTGTTTAATAGCACGTGCTTTAGCTGCAGACAGTGCGGATAGAAATGTAAGTAAAGAAACTTTTTTATTTATTAAGTAAGCAAGTGTAAAAAATTTCTATTAGCGTTATTGTGGAAAATACTTACTTTTTTGCCTAAACCTAGAACATCAATCTGGTTTTCAATGTACATCGTTCCATGTCAAGGACTAAAAATATATTGTACAAGCATTGATCTTATAAGCTCTGAAAATTCACCATCTATCTATAGCAATTCGCTATTTGTGTCGTATCAGCTCGTACCAGCTTCTTATTGATTGCTAATGCACACTCACGATTCAATGTTTTATGTTATTGCTCTTGGATTTTTTCTTTAAACTCCTGAACCTATGAATGCAAAAATGATATTATTTCCATTATTTATTTTATTGATAATTGTAATTGATTGGATTTCAGGTTGGTGTATTGGATATTGACATTTGTGGCCCGTCACAACCAAGAGTCTTGGGAGTCGTTGGAGAACAAATACACCAAAGTGGTTCTGGCTGGTCTCCAGTTGTATGTCTTTTTTTTCTTATTTATTTATTTACATAAATTGAAGATATGCGAGGAAGGTCTTCTGCTATATTTTTTAATGTTATTGTTATTTTTTTTTACTTACACAAGTATATACTTTGTCTACAATATTTTGGCAGAGTATAATTTTCTGATAATGCAAATTTATTAAAACTTTAATTGCACTTCATAACATCTTCATTAGGGTGGCGCAAAAAAACCGATTATTTTTTTTTTTTTTGAGTCGAGTGAAAAAATATTAGTTTTTGATGTTTTAAGAGCTCTCTCCAAAAGACAGCTTAAAAAAAAATTTTTAAGAGGTCGCTCTAAATTTTTTTAAATTTCAAAAATCGAATTTTTTATTTTTTTTTCTCGTTACATCATAATTTTATAGCACAAAAAAAAAGTTTTCCTGAAAGTTTCAATTCAAAATGTGAATTTTAAAAAGTCGCTCATAATTTTTTTTTAATTTATTAGTGACTATTTAATTGGATTAGCATTTTTTGACTCTGAAATTTAAAAAAAATTATGAGCGACCTTTCAAAATTTAAATTTTGAATTGAAATTCTAATTTTCATGCACTCTTCGATTATTTTCTAATAAAAATTTATTCAATATTTTATTTTTACAGTATGTAGAAGATAATTTGTCACTCATGTCAATAGCCTTTTTATTAAATAGTCCTAGTGATGCTGTTATTTGGCGAGGACCTAAAAAAAATGGTAAAATATATTTGTTATAAATTGTAACTATTAAACTTTTGATACCTCAAATTTTTTTCATATTTGAATTTTAAATATACTTTTTGCAGGGATGATTAGACAATTTCTATCAGAAGTTGATTGGGGTAACTTGGATTATCTAATCTTAGATACACCACCGGGTACATCTGATGAACATTTATCAGCAACTACATACTTGAAAAATTCAGGAATAACGGGAGCAATTATTGTTACTACTCCTCAAGAAGTAGCTTTGCTTGATGTCAGAAAGGAAATAGATTTTTGTAAGAAAGTTAAAATTCCTATTCTGGGTACTATTGAGAATATGAGTATTTTTGTTTGTCCAAAATGCAAAGTAAGTGTCATTTTTAAATTGTCGATAAAGGTATATTTTATTTTAACTAATTATTAATTCATTTATTTATTTATTAGAATAGTGCTGAAATATTCCCAGCATTGACTGGAGGTGCTCGAAATATGTCTGAGGAAATGAATGTTGAATTTTTAGGCTCTATTCCCTTGGATCCACTGCTAGCACGCTGTTGTGATGAAGGTAAAAACGTTTTCACTGAAATGCCCGAATCACCAACAATTGTTGCGCTCAAAAAAATTGTTACTCGTAAGTCAAACTTATTTTTAAATCGTTGCAATATTGAATAAATAAATATAAAATTAATTTATTTAACAGGGATCATTGACAAGTGCGAGAATAGTGAAATGAAGACAGCAGAAGCTGAATAATAATACAATAAATAATTCCAAACTATATAAATTTATTATCATAAGTATATTAATAATTAATACATTACAAAAAGTGTTATTTATATTTTAATCATGTGTTATTGTTAAAATAGAAAATTTTTTCACACATAAGTTTCATTTTTATTTTCAGTTCAGTAATTCAATTACGAATATGATGTACAGTGGAAAAAATGATACGATAAAGTCATAGAATTATATATATCATAGTTCATGATGATATTTTCCGTAAAATGTCATGTACAATAATCATGATCTGACTCACTGAAAATATATCGATATATTACATTTTCAGCCTCTTGTTCAACATTATAAGGTGATTTGTCAGCGTCGATACTATTAGTAGCGACATATCTAAATATTTTGTTCATATTTTCTTGTTCATTATCATTAATCGACACTGTCGATTTATCTTCATCTGGAATATAAGCTTCATATCTAAATATTTCAGTCTTGTCATTGTCATTTTCTAGAGGATCGCACTTTACCGTAACCAGTGCAATAAAATTTGGATTGTCTAATTCTGATTTTTCATCTATCTGCAAAAGAATTATACAATGAATATTTACACTAATAATTTAACCATTAATTTAAAAACAGACAAAGAAGAATATTTACCAGGTTTTCATCATTTGGATTTAATTTTTGTATTATCATGAGTAGTTTTAAGTTATTATCGTTTAATTGCTTATTTTTTTTCTTCATTATCTGGATTTGTTTTTGAAGTTCCGAAATACGGTTTCTAGCTTGTTGAAAATAAAACCTTGCATTTTCTGGGGAATCCATATCTTCTATACTAAAATCACCTTCAAAATATCTGCGTCTACGAGGTAAATTGTCACAATTTTTCAAATTCATTTCAGATATTATTACAGTATTAGCATTTAATGCATCTGCGTGTCTTGAATCATTTTCTAATAATTCATCAGATTCTATTATTGGCGACGTATTATCTGAATGTATTCTTTAAAAAATAAAAAATGTATAACTACTTATACAACAATGAAATAATAAATTGCATACTTACTCATTCTTATTACAGTCGCTTGTTTGTTTACCCACAGGAACAATATTTGGTTGTCTGCGTACAGAAATAATATTTGGCGAAGTAAATTTTTTAGTTGTTTTAATAACTTTGTTATCATTATTGACATTATCACCTATAAACAGCGTTGGTATAGCATCGGATCGTAATGATCTGCCTCGACCAAAATGCCTTGGAATAAATGATTCATCAGTAAAATGTCGTGAACAAATTCGAGAAACTGATGAAAATTTTAAATTATTTAATGTTAAAATTGAAAACCATTGTTCCTTCATTTTTTCATCCTTTGGGAGTCTGAAAATATAAATGAGTGATTAAAAAAATTCTTGGACACCTATGTGGTTTGAAAATTCAGGGTACGAGAAACTCAAGTAACTCAAAAAATTCATACAAATTAATTTAATTAATAATTATTATTATTGAATTTTAAACAAAGAAAATATTAAAAATAAAAATAAAACTTACTGATAAAATGATAATGGACTTTCTTTTTTATATCTTGCTCTGCAGCTGGTTACAATACATCGGAAACCCATTTTTTAAATAAATTTATTTATAATTTATAATATTACCAATAGTTTAAATAATTTAGTGAAATATCTGAAGAATGTTGATAATTTAATTAATTTAATGATTGTTCGCTCTAAAAGTAATTTAAATAGTTGATAACAATGATAGTTTGTAAAGAACTGTCATGTGATAAAATAATAATATACAGGTTGGGTTAAACTAGTATTGTTATTGTATCTCGGGAAGCTTTTTTAAGTCTTCGGGAATTTCCGTATTTTTCGAACGAATTATATGCTAGTAATATAAATTTAATGTGTGATTTGTAAAAAATTAAATAAAAATAAAAGAATATTTTAATTTATAATGTACATTAAATTTTAATTTAAAATTCTTGGGTTAAAAATTTTTAAATACTAAAATGTACTTTAAATATAATAAGAGATCTGTACCGAAAATACTCGGAGACAGTTTATAACTTCAAAAGCACTATAGCTTTTGAGAATCATATGATTTTGTTGACACAATTGAATATTTTATATTGTGGACTAAAAACATGGCGTCAGTGATAAAAGGTGTGAGATAAAATTAATTTAACTTGAAAATAAAGTAATTAAATAATTAATTATTATTTTTTTTATCATATTTATGTAATGAAAAAAATAATTAATTTATTTATTAAATAGTTTAAGTCATTAAGTATAATTTTAATTAATTACACTTGTGAATACTTGTGTAGACATTGGTGAAATTTGGAGCAGACTATTTGATCACCGCCCGTTTTTACAAGGTGAATTATCATATTTTGTACGAGAATTTGAGGTAATTCATTATTACATATTTTATTTTTATTTATTTAACAAAGATGACATTTACAATTTAATTGTTTTTCTAGGAAAAACGTGGTGATAGGGAAGTTGAACGATTATTTAAAATTTTGGAGTACTCTACAGAACTTGAACAAAATCAAATTGATCGGGCGGAACAACTTGGAGATTGTCATTTGCCAAGTTTAAAAGCTAATGCCGATGTGGCATTGACTATGTGTGAAAGGATAATACAAAGAGAAAATAAATTTAATCATGTGAGTATTTTTTTAGATGATACTGAGGTTAGCTAAAGACTGTCAATATGTTTTAACAAATTATTTATGATACTGAAATTAGCCGACGTTTTTAATTTTTTGATTTTTTTTTAATAATTAAATTAGAACAAAAAAATATTTTTTAAAAATTGCACTGCCAGTGTTTAAAGTTTTTTACAGATGAAATTTTTTTTTTTAATTTTTTGTAATCATTTTTTCAATAAAAAACAATTCTAAAAATTTTTAGATGTCGGCTAGCTTAATTTTGATAATTATTTTCAATAAAAAAATGCTTTAAAATATTTCTACAAATATTTTTTTTTTTTAATTTTCACATGTAGAATTTTATGATATTGAAGTTGGCTGTCAATTTTTTAAATTATTATAACAAATCAATTACAATTAAACAATGCTTTCAAAAATTTCCACTTAAAATTTTTTTTAATTTTCACATGCAAAATTTTTTTATTGAATTTTTTTTCATAATAATTTTACTGTCATAAAATTCTAAACAAATTTCTAGTATCTGTTAACTTTGGTGTATATAATTTTTTTTTTAATAATTTTATTGCATGATACTAAAGTTAGCCGACGTTTTTAATTTTTGGATTTTTTTTTAATAATTAAATTAGAAAAAAAAATATTTTTTAAAAATTGCACTGCCAGTTTTTAAAGTTTTTTCTAAATGTAATTTTAAAAAAAATTTTTTTATCATTTTTTCAACAAAAAAAAAATATTTTTTAAAAATTGCACTGCCAGTTTTTAAAGTTTTTTCTAAATGTAATTTTAAAAAAAATTTTTTTATCATTTTTTCAACAAAAAAAAAATTATAAAAATTTTTAAATGTCGGCTAACTTAATTTTCATTTTTATTGCTATAAAATTAAAAAAAAATTTTTAATGTCCGACAACTTCAGTGTCTTTTAATACTTTTGAATCTGTTTAGTTCTAGATAATCAGATTTAATGGACTGTGGTTAATTGTTTATTTATTATCCTAAAATTATTATGACACTGAAGTTAGCAGACGTCTAAAAATTTTTGATTTTTTTTTTAATTAAATTACAACTAAAGATATTTATAAAAAATTGCACTTGTAGTTTTTCAAGTTTTTTACATGTGAAATTTTTTTAATAAAAAATTTTGAAATGTCAGTTAACTTCATTTTCATAAATTTTTCTTATATTTATCGCAGGATAGCAAAATAGCTGAAAATAGAGAACTACGAAAAGAAGAATGGAAAAAATTTATCAATGATATGAGTGATAAGTGTCGTAAAGTTGACGCAACATTTAATGAAAAAGAAGAAGAGTTAAAAAAATTTTACGTTGACTTAGAAAAAAAACTTCATATCAATCCTTAACTATTATTTACTTTAAATTCATATTTTCAAGTATTTTACCAAAATATTTCATTTCCACGAATATTAAATATTTGGTTATCTAAAAATTTTTTTTCTTTTTATTTTTTGTTAGTTATTTTTATTAATTTAATATGCCAGTAGAACAAATAGAAGATCCATTCATAAAGGTAAAAGCAACGCCGTTATTAATCAAGTTTGTAAAAAAAAATGTAAATAACAAAGACGCTCCTGAAAGTATACGGTCGTTGAAAAAGTCATCAAACAAGTCAGACTGTTTATTAAAAGTAGATGCTATTGAGTGGTTAAATAATTATTTGATAGAGTACAGAAAAACATCAGATAGTAAAGTTTATTTACATGAATTATTGGATGGTACAAATATTGATTTGCCTAAACCTAAAGTGACACCCAGAAATCCAATATTAGAAGCAAGAATTAAAAAATTGACGGCCCAACAAAATAACCGTGAATATCACGCTATGACTAAGGAAGTTGATCCAGTTAAAAAAAGATTGCCAGAAGACACCATTGCATTTCAAAGTAAGAAAATTATTATATATTTTAATAGTTATAGAAGTAAAAAAAATTAGTAGTTAATTACACTTATCATCTCTTATTTACAGTAAAAGAAATAAATAGACAACTTATTGCTATTTTGCAATTTATAACAGCTGTGGCTTCGGCGTTTGCATTTGGTTTTTGGGGAATTGAACTAATTCTTGGTAATCTTGATTTTGGATTCCGTTTGTTACTTGGAATAATATGTGGTCTTATTGTTGCGTTAGCAGATATTTATTTTCTAGCTAAAAAATTGAATGAAGATTATATTGAAGTAACAAGACCAATGCCAATTTATACAAAATTACATAAAGATTAATAACTTCCTGAATAAATTTATACAATTGAAGTTTTTTTTTAACTCTGTTATACGATACAAAATATTCCATGATTTAATCAGCAACATTCTAAATGAATGTAACTAAAAAAAAAAAATTAGTTAATACTAATTTTGTTCATAAATAATAGAATTAAAAATGAATACCAATGAATGTTTATCATAAATAAAAAAATGATATGAAAATTAAAATCTAATAATTTATTTCAGTCATCATGTTCACTTTCACTACTAGATCCACTCATTTTCGAATTATTTTTACCATTTGATATAGATTTATTATCCTCACTACTATGGTCATCATCATCATCTTCTTCATTATCATCATCCTCATCATCGTCTTTTTTTGAATCACTGTCCGAGCCTGATTCCGAATCCGACTGACTGTCACTATCAGAATCGGAACTACCAGAAGAACTACTTTGTGCAGTAGCCTCTTTAGCAGCCATCAGTTCTTTGAATTGTCTTACTGTTATTTTGCGAGGCATTATTTCTTTAAGAAATTCCAAAGTCTCATTAGTTTGCGCTACATCTGCAAGATGTTTGTAGTCTAATGCATTTTTTTGATTCGCTTTGGTGTAAGCTTCTGTTGCCAAATAGTGGATGAACATTTCCTGATAAAATAAATAAAATATTTAATAATCTATATTATTAAGAAAATAAGCAAAATTTTGTGGTCAATAATTAAGAAATGACCTTGTAATTCGTGAACTATTGACATTTTCAAAGATATAAGCTCATCCCGATGTTACACTCATTGAGACCTTTCATTTGAGTACCCACATCAATTTTTCATATATATTTATATAAATTATACATATGTATATATGAAAAATATATCAAAATGCATGTGGGTATTCAAATAAAAGCTCTTGATGAGTGTAACATCGGGATGAGCTTATATCTTTAAAAGGGTCAATAGTTAACAAAGTACAGTGCAATTTAACAAAAGCTATTATTTAATAAAGCAAAATTTCACTTATTTATAGTTCATAAGTCACGACAGTCACATACTGACTGCAAGGTTGCGAGTATATATTAATTAATTAATTAAAAAAATTTTTAATATTATTACCGTAGCTTTAGTAACTAAAAATAAACCATCCTGCCCAATAGATTCGACGTCCGGTGAACTTTTCATTATTGTACGAACTCTTGCTAATGGTAATCGAAGTTCTCGTATTTTTTGCGGTGTTTGATTCGCTGCCATTTTATCAAATTCTGATTGTTTATTAATTAGTAATAAAATCTGGAAAAATATAAATACATTATTTTTTTTTTTTTTTCAGAATAAATTACTGTTAACTATTTTAAATAATTTTGTTTACTTACAAATTAAAGTGGTCACATGAAACCAAGAAAATTAAAATACTTCGCTTTTGATTATAAAAAAAGTTTAGATTTAATATTATTTTAAATAAATAAATATAATATTTAAATAAAATAAAATAAATTATATAAAGCGTGAAAGAAATTATTGAAAAGTTTACTCTTATTCAGTTGTTTACATTGAATGACGGTTACGTTATACTCGCGAGGCTTACAATCGATATCTCGAACTCTCGCACATGCGCACCTGTCACAAGTTTTAAGATGGCGCCTACAGTTTCAGACGGACTAGATGCGCACCAAGTGCATATGAAATTATAGAATAATTATTTAAAAAAAGGTTCTTCAGTAAAAATATCTTTCTTTTTATAATTACATTGAGTTATGAATCTATGATTCTTAAAAAGAAACCGCGGGATATATATATATATATCTTGTGCTAAATGTTCCGCTAAAACCTATTAGTTTCCTGTTTCACCGACAGAGCGCTAAACAGAACTCGTAACTGCGTCACAGGTGTCATGAACTGCTCGCTCTAACCAAGCGTCTCGTGTACTTTTGAATAAATGACAAAATACCGTCGAAATTTACAGTGTTTGATTTAAACAATTAATCAAACATTTTGTTACATAGTATTATGATTATTATGCTAATAATTGGACACGTGTTCTCGGAAAATTGTCATAAATTACGGATCGGAAAATTTCAACATCATGCGAGGTTCGAATGACCGTTTGATTGTCATCAAGATGAATGGATGAATAATTTTATTGGTTCAGCGATCCGGTGAGTATACTAACAATGACACAATTACTTCTTAAATATAAATTATCATTAAAAATAAATATAACAAATTTTAAACAAAACAACGATAATTTTCTCAAATAATTTACAGAAAGGAAAAATAACTATACTTATAATAGTACCCTGTTTAAAAATATTCATTGAAAAAAATTCACTGTCATGAGATTTGAATTTTTTTCAATAATTCCAATTGATTTCAATTCTAAGTATTTATCTATAGATATATAACTTGTAAAGAGCGAATTTTTTTCAATGAATATTTTTAAATAGGGTAAGTATACTTTTAATAACCCTGATCAGAAAAAAAGATATGAAAAGATATTCGGAATGGCTCAAAGAGATTAAAAAAGATTCAACTTGACAAATATATAGATAACATTTTGCATGGGTCAAATTTTTTTTTTTAATTAGGGAATTTATTAATATCATAGTACTTTTTTTTAACCCTAGACTGGTCACCCTATGATCTCTATGAGCGTGACGCCGCGCTCAATTATATTTTTTTTATTACATCTTCAATATTTACTAAAATTATTCAAAAAAATTTGACTTTGTTCCTTGAACATTTTAGAATATATTAATAATTTTTTCAAACATCTTCGAAAACGTTAAATTGCTGAAAAAAAATTTCTTAAAAAAATTTGCGGGACTTTCCTCATTGCTTGACCAGAATTGTAAGTAGTTTTTTGTCCGCGGAGTTGCCGAAAACACCTCTAGTCTCTGCCTGTCAAATGTGTATGAACTGGCAACATCGTACGCTCTAAAAGCATTGCGGCAAATCCCTCAT